AATTGAAACTTGCGGCCAAGGCATTATAGTTTGTAATTTCATGTTGGTACATGAAACTAGCTTGCGGGTGTTGTACCTTTGAGCTTTTGCTTTTGTATGGATTGTGGCGTGGACTCAATAGTATATAGTTGTACTACATTGATGACGGATATATAATTTTGTACACGATACTGATGCATTTATATTGTTCCAGGCGATCCCATCATACTTGCATGTTTTTTCACGAGAGATTTCTAAGGAAGTTGTCGCGTTCTTCTTAATGAAAAAAAAAAAAAGAGCTCTTTAATGAAATTTTGAATATCCCTTGAGATCAACATCTTGTTTGACAAAACTTTGCTAAAATGGGATTGGATGATGATTTATAGACACCTTTTTTGAACATTTAGCCCCCGTTTAATTCCCATTGAACGTTTAGCCCCTTGTTTGAGGTGCATTATTCGGACAATAAAATGAGAAATCCAACCGTTTGAGCCACAATGTTTGACTTTTTATTCCACACCAATTCAAATTTTTTGACACTAACGGTCAAATTTTATTTTTCTTTGCTATTAATGCGCCTCAAACAGGTTCATAAACTCAAAATTTTTCCTTACTTTTTAAATACACATTCTCAAAAAAAAAACTATTCAAAACTCTTTAAAAAAGAAATAATGGCCACCAAACAGGGGCTTAATAGCATCTCTCATTTGTTCCATGTAACTTCCTGCCAACATCAGAACTTCATCACAATTTTCCTTTCGCTCGTAGTACGTGGAAGAAGTGGACTTTAGAAGTATTACATGACGTACGTGCTATAACCGAAATGAAAATGGTCTTATTTAGAAAAAAAATTGAGAAATTGCAGTTACGTTTAATGAATTTCAATGAACAATATTTTGAGGATTAGATTATTCTTAAATTTTTTGTGATTAATCCAGTTACACGGGCATATTATGAACACTATATTGTTTAATTTAAATATGCATTTTTATTTGCATTTTGCTTCATCGATTTGCACGTGAACTTTGAAAAATGCACCTAGGAATGTGTGTCACTTGACCAATGGTGTAATGTTAGATAAATTTTTGTTAATTAAATGAGTAAAAAATTACTTTTAAGGATCAACATTTTATGTTAATTATGCCCACATTTCTGCCCCAAGTCCAGAATATCTTTCCTATCCCTGTGGTCAAACATATAAATAACCTTGCTCGATCTGTCTGGGAGTTTCATGAGCAAGCTACCTTAAGTAAGTAGCTAATTGAATGTGAAATGAATTATAATAGGTACCTAGTTATAGAAAGGATGCATGCTCATCAATTGGTGACAAAGGAGAGTTCAAATATATAGTTGTATACACTAAATTTTGATACATAATTACAATTTGAAGTGTCAAAAATCAATCACAATACATTTTTTGATGTGTTACCTATAAAATTTTGACACTTCAAAATTGTAATAAAGTGTCAAAATTCAAGTGGATGGATGCATAAGGGAATATATTTGCGAGGACGATGGATCTAAACTCCACAAGTTGCGAGCGCCCACCTAAGGTCAACTTGATTTGCACCATAGGTGTGATACTCTTAAATGCCAATATATTTAAACAATAAATGTAGAACGAGGATGTTTAAGATAAACACGTGGTTCTATAAGTAAGAATCGAATGTATACACCATGGAGAAGTTTCATTGATTTTGGATAATTTAATGGAAGAGTAACTTATATCATTTTATCATTTGTACAAATTAAAAGAAAGAGGAATAACCACCGAATTTTGAGTAATTATGGTGTAGTCATTGAAATTATTTTTTTACGAATATATTATGATAACTCGGTTGAATCCAATATGGCACCATTAATGTTTGATGGTGTAAAGATAAAGATAATGTACCTGTCCAATCAAATGCAAATGGGCGGGAAAGTGTGTGGTGTTTAAAAACTGTCCAATCATGCTCCGACACGTGGTACAATGTCAAAGTTGATGTCAAAATTAATGTACTTGTAGCATGGTTCATGTTAAGCCTGCCTCTTGCAAAAGATTGAATCCTGCATTCATTTTTATGATTTTATTTGCTAACTTTCACATTTGGTAACCAGAAAATTATTTGCAGAAGTTTAAGATTACCCTTTTGTAAAGATATAATTTCGATGCACACTTCAAGCTTCTCTTTACTGAAATTTGGTCATTCTTATGTGATCTGACACTTACATTTAGTTGTGAATTTAATAATAGCCTAGAAGCAACAAGATTTTACATCATAGAATTGACAATAATCTATTAGTTATGTGTCTATATTAGTTTATAATGTTCATTTGCTGAATCAGAATCTACCTATTGATTTTTTTTTTCAATTCTGAATTCAATTATAAGCTTTTGTTTGCTGAAATATTTTCGTATGTGGTAAACAAGTTCCAAATATTTGCTGAGTTGAAGAACTGCCCTTTTGTAGATATGAAACTTATTATTAAATTCTCATCTTTTGCTGCTAAAATATTTTCCTTTCTGGGCAATGATATATTAGATGAATTTAGAGCCTAGCCTTTTGGAAGATTTAGAAGCTGTTCTATTCGTGTTTTAGTTTTGAATTCATTTTGAGTTTTGTATTTTGACTGTCAATTTTGAAATTGTTGAAAACGCATTTTTTTGGTTATTTTGAAAAATTATTTTCAAAAATAAAAAAATGAAGTTTTAGCATGATTTTAATTAAAACTAACCAAAACGATTTTTTTGACGTTTTCCGTTTTCTTTGTAAATTTTAAACTCGTTTTGAAAATTCGTTTCTAAAAATAGGTAAATAAACGTGTTTTCATTGTTTCATGAAAACTAAAAATGGCCCGAAAACATGCCCTCAATTTCTCCTCCAATTTTAAGTTATAGTTATTAATATATAGAACAATTTGCTTTTATCTTGTGGTGTGATCGAGCATTATAGGAAATTCTGAATCTCTATCGTGAAGGTCCTCTCACCTTTTCTTTGTTTCTTAGTTTCCTCCTTTTTTTTCTTTTTCTTTTTCTTTTTCTTTTTTCCTGTTAAATTTATAAGGTTCGATTTTTTTTTTAATTTTCTGAATTTATTGGAGTCTTTATGTTTCTAGAAAATTCAGCCTCTGGCTTAGAACATTCTAGTGAATGTTGCGTTTCCAAAGAAGCAAAATAATAATTTACATCTGACTGCCGTTAACTTTGGGCTGTATGCAGCAAATTACAAGTCACCTTAATAGGCACTCATGGGGACTGTTGTTGATGCTGTGAAAAAGGCACTTCTATTAGGGAATGTTTGATAATCCCTTATTTTTCATGAAAGTTGGATTTGAAATTTCATTTTCTATTTTTGCCATGTTTGATGGAATTGTTTTTCCACGTTTGCTAGTTTTCTTGGTTTAGTTGAATTTCAATTCCTACCTCCATCCTTTTTTTTTTTTTTTT